AAAAAAGGGGGAAATGCCTTTGTACTGAGAATAGCCATTGCTTTCTACTGAGAATAACCGTTGCTTTCTAATGAGAATAACCATTGCTTTCTACTGAGAATAGCCATTGCTTTCTACTGAGAATAGCCATTGCTTTCTACTGAGAATAGCCATTGCTTTCTACTGAGAATAGCCATTGCTTTCTACTGAGAATAACCATTGCTTTCTACTGAGAATAGCCATTGCTTTCTACTGAGAATAACCATTGCTTTCTACTGAGAATAGCCATTGCTTTCTACTGAGAATAGCCATTGCTTTCTACTGAGAATAGCCATTGCTTTCTACTGAGAATAGCCATTGCTTTCTACTGAGAATAGCCATTGCTTTCTACTGAGAATAGCCATTGCTTTCTACTGAGAATAGCCATTGCTTTCTACTGAGAATAACCATTGCTTTCTACTGAGAATAGCCATTGCTTTCTACTGAGAATAGCCATTGCTTTCTACTGAGAATAGCCACTGCATCAACTCACTAACAGTGAAGACTCAATGAGCATGTTCCTGTGTGGGTTCTGGGGTCCTATTGTGGGGGAACAAAAATAAACCCCAACAAGCATGTTGCAAGAGTCTACCAATTTGGGTTTTCCTTCTATGTCAGATTGCATGTGTGTGAAAGGCAAAGAACCATCATTCTGCATACAAACCTCAAGATCTGAAATAAGGCTACTAAAGTCCACAAGTGGATGAACAAACAAAACTTTCCAGCGGAGTTTACAGCTGGCAAACGTAAAGAAGAAGAATGAGCATGTTTTAACAAATCCAAACTGGCAAGCTCCAGGTAGAATGGGTTAACAGCATCCAGAAACTAATTTGGCTGTACACACCAATTTACGCCAGGGTGAAAGGAAAAAACAGCCAAAAGACTGGTTTATCTGCAGCAGTTAGTGGACTCCTGCGCTGGCAGTTTATAAACATATTGTTCAAGTGGCTTTCAGATAGTGAGATAGTCGTACAAGAGCCGCACCATGGTAGAGATTGGAGCCTCACTGCATCATATTCCCACAATCAGAAGTGCATGCAAGCCAAATCCCATTGTGGAGATAGTAAATTACGTTAAATGCTCCAATAAGTAGGACACAGCATCATTGAAATATCTATAACATTAAACACATTGAACAAGTGACAAGTGCCAATGATTGGATATATTATAAAATTGTAGATATAAAAGTGCAGATGCAAAAGAAAACATGTAAAAGTATAGACACACAATCAGAGATATAAAAGATATGGATATAATGTATGCATATAAAAGAACATATATAAATGCACATTTACAATTATACAAGTAAAGAAATGGATACAAATTACAAACAAAAATTGGATATAAAAGCAGAATCAGAACTACAGATATATGGAAGTATATTAACATTAAAATATTTATATAACAGATCAGGTACCATATTTTTTGTGTATAAGACACCCCCTTTCTTTATTTTTAAGACTTAAATTAGGAAATAAATATTTTAAACACATTTTGTGTACAAGATAACACCCCCCTCCCCCCCCCCCCCCCCCCCCCCCCCCCCAAACACACATACATGCACAAACACACTTTCTTCTTCTTCTTCTTGTGTTCGCTTTCTGATTTACATCGACAGACAGGTTCTTGTGATAAACTTGACTGTTTTTATGAGTTCCTTTTTAGTCCCATACAACTTTGTGTGCAGTGGTGACTCACTGGGCCAGTATTATTTTCTTAATGGGATGAACAAAGGACAGTCTAGCAGGACATATTCTATAGTCTGCACACATAGCCCACAAGGGCAAAAAGGTGAACTACTTAGACGAAGCCTGTGCATATGCTGGTTAAGTTTGTTATGTCCTGTCCTGAGACGTAAGACAATGACCTGCCCATGCCGATCAAGTATGTGGTAGTGATCTCTGACCAGACTGTGTTCACTCTAATAGCCTGGATGGCCTTTTTCTTCTCATAGTATGTTACTGCATTCTCTTCCTGGTCACATTCTGCCCCTTTCTTAGCAAGTTTATCAGCGGTTTCATTTCCGGGTATACCACAGTGGGATGGCACCAACTGGAGTACAGTACACTTTTGGGCAGCCACCTTGCCAAGTTCACATCTCAAGTGAGGGAGTTTGTCACTCTTGAGGGCTTGAAGCACTGATAGCGCATCTGTGAATATGACCACTTGGTGGCAATCAGAACTGGTGTTGTGTAACATTTCGGCAGCCTGCTCTAGTGCTACGATCTCTGCTGTAAACGCATACCAGCGGCATCGAGGCTCATGGGTTCAAACTGGCATCGAGTCGGATTTTCCCCTTAAAAACGGCCTTGGCTGCCAGGTTGGCCCAGCCTAAAATGGGTACCAGGGAAGTCAGGGAAGAAAAGATGGCCAGCCTGATGATGACCACATCAACCACCGACTGGTCTATACAATATGGGTCGTGCACTATACACCCATCGACTGCTGACTGGTCTATACAATATGGGTTGTGCACTATACACCTATTATGCCTAAGAACATAAAAAAGGGTACTTTCATATCTTCAACTTTGTTCTGGACATATTCGTTATATTTTTATCAGCCAATGGTATTCTCATAAAACAGCATCTGCACCTGCCACCTGATGTCTCACTAATCTGTTGATTGTCCACTTCCACACATTCAGATTTGCTCACATACAGCTCTTGAGAATTAGCTCATAAATATAATCAAGCTTTGGAAACATACATTCTTTTATCATAATAAATATAACAAAGGCGTAAAATCTCTTTGGAAATGCATGGCTCCTGCAAGCAGTCAAAAGCTGGCCGTCACAATAGTGTGCATGGGACAAATGAACATGTCAATGCTGAACGAGTACGTGTGTATAAGACTATTTTTTTCCCCAAACTGTTCAAGTTAAAAACTGGAAGTCGTCTTATACAAAGAATGTTGCAATTAAATATATCAATAAATACATGCCCCTATCCATATCCACCCCGCAATCACCCAAACTACTGGCCTCATGAAAAACCCTGAAGCTTCACTGCTTTGATTTTGTCTACTGTTGACTCTTTATGCGTCTGGCGAATGTGACATAATTCTTGCTGGCCCTATGGTGATTCTTACCCTGCACGTGATAATAATGCTGACTAACCCACACAATTCTGATGCTAAATGTAACGATAAAAGTTGTTGTTTGATGATTCAATATCAGGTCAAATATACAGCTGTTCTGAATATTTAATAAACCCACTAACCCACACAATTCTGATGCTAAATGTATCGATAAAAGTTGTTGTTTGATGATTCAATATCAGGTAAAATATACAGCTGTTCTGAATATTTAATAAATTATCAAAGTTGCTCAGTTTGGTGTTTGAAATATTTATTTTGTAATTTTGGGCCAAAATAAAGGGGGAGGGGAGGGGGCCTTATACATGTGGGTGTCTTATACATGAAAAAATATGGTAAATGGATGAAGCAAGGGAACAGCAAAGGACTGGGACTCTTTCTGGAAGGGTGTGGTGAGAGTGATACTCTGTGAAGATGCTCGTGATCTTTCTTTTTCTCTTTGTATCAATCACTCACTCTTCTTCTCTCTCTATGATCTCTCTCTCTCTCTCTCTCAATCTCTTTCTTCTCTTTCTCCATCTCTCACCATCTCTTTCTCTTCTCTATCTCTGTATATTTTTCTCTCACACACATACACCCAAGTGTGTGTGTGCATGCGCAAGAAGGTATACATAAAACACACCAGATGCATCAGGATGCAAAGTTTCAGATACAAAAGTAAAAGTATAAACATTAAAGTATAGTTACGAGTACATTGAGCAAATCTCTCATTAGTACATACTGCTGGCTTAGCAACAGGAAGCAAGTCTATATGTGTGCTGGATGTTTGTGAATGGAGATACATAGGGCAGACACTCACCTTCACCATCATCTTCATCTTCCATGTTTAGAAAACACAGTATAAACATATCAAATAATTATTTGCAATTATGTAGCATGCATATGTAAATATTGTTGTTGTACTTATTTAAACAAATGAAAAACAGAATATACAATTACAGCTTTTGAAATCCTTCAATCCTTCTCTCCTTTGTACACTAATTCCTTCACATAAAAACAATGTAATTAAAACAGAATGTTTTATTGATCTTACTAACTCACTGCTGCAACTCCTTTAGTACATACAGGACAATTTGGAAAATAATATTGAAAAATTTAAAGTTGTTTTTTTTTTTAAAATGAAAACCATTTTTATTTATATAATATGCTCAACATGACTAAAACAGATTTTGATGGGTGTCCTCCACGGGTTAGGGGCACATATAAGCACAGCTGGAGATATGCTTGTAATGGCATTGGTGATCGTTTATTTGTCATATGCATGGAAGCTTTTGGGAACCTTGCAAGGCAAAGTTATTTTGCTTTCTTTGATTTAAGCTCATTTGTTTTTTTTTCTTCCTTCTTTCTGAATTGAAGTCAAGAGAAAAGGCTTTTCTTAGTCAGCACAAACAGCTCATAAATATAGTCTGAGGACAAAATTGAACTAAAAAACTAAATGCAGTAAAATATCATTCTTGATTGTGGTTTTGTGAAGCTAGCTAGTATTACTTCTCATCTGGACTGACATATTTTATGACAATAATTAAAGAACTGCCACAGAAAGGGCAGGCATTTTCTACCTTTACTGAGGTTTTCATTTTCAAACTAAACAAGAATCTAAAACCAAACTAAGCCTTTAAGAAAATCACTGACAAAATGAAGTCTCAGCAATTAAACCATTTTTAGTCATAATATTTTAGATGACAGCAAGATATTCAGCATCTTTGAAGTTTTAGTTGAACAGCACACACACCTGGTTCTGTGAATGTCATTTATTCTTAGACAGGCGATGTGATGATATCCTTTTAGCTTCCAGATTCACAGGTATCTGACAAATGTGCACACAAGTGGAACACTAACATTTTTCACCAGGACATTTTCTGAACAAACAGTTTGTGGACACTCACCGAAAATCACCTCATCCCAGTGATCCTTTCCCAGTGACTTGACACGGCGTGAGGTGGACTTCCTCTTGAACAAACTGCCCCTTCCTCTGTTTGGGAAGTTCTCCTTGTCACCGTCTTCTTTCTGCTGTTGTCTCAGAACCTCAGCACTGTCAGAAACATGGAAAAGATGTCAACAAAAGCTCTAACACAAGTGTATAAAGTAAAAAGTAAGTAAAGATCCCTTTTCACGCTTTAGGTGCATCGGGTATATGGGAAGAGCGTCCCATATTTTTACAGACCAGTCAGCACTGGGTGGATAATGTGGTCAGCATTATGCAGGCCGTCTTTACTTCCCCAGGACATCCATCCTGGTACCCATTTTAGGCTGGGTCGACCTGTGACGCCCCATACCAAGATAAAAATCCAAGCAGCCAGCAGTGGGTTTCGATCGCGGTACGTTGGAATTACGAGTCGGACTCACAACGCCTAAGCCACGGACGCCGCTCACAAGTGTATGCTGACAAATATTTACTCATGATCCAAGCACTGGTACATTTGTTTATTTTACTTCTCAGCTTAATTTTCCAGTGTTGCCAGCTCATGGATGACATTCAAACAGGTGTACATCACTGTTGCACCGTGTGACAGTTATATTGCTATGCCCTATTGGTTACAAAGTCACTGTTGCACCGTGTGACAGTTATATTGCGATGCCCTATTGGTTACAAAGTTACCTACAGCCTAGTGTGAACAGGCACAGCTTGAGGGTAAGAGAGCAAGAAGAAGACACAGCCATAAATACCTGGATGGCCTGGCCAGATAGATGGGGCGAGACAAAAACACTGAACTGATGTGTGAACCTGATGATCATGTGAGATGCTGAAACATGACAACCTACTGGCACGGCACATGATGATGATAATAATGAAAGAAATGTACCCGTTATAACAGATCTCATTTAGAAATTACGGTACTAATTAATTCAAGTCAAAAATGTCCCAAGTTTCCAGTTTTCTCTAGCACAATGTCTGGTCTACATGTCTTGCCTTTCTGTTTTCATGTAATATACAGCTTTGAACTCGTGTACCAGGTACTGGTGGACCTTCTCAATTGTCTGGAATATTTCTATCAGGTCTATTATCAAGTATCTGATGATTATATCATTTTGTGTCTTTAATGTACCTGTTAAAATATTTATTAACTGGTGTATATGTTTAGTCTTTTCCATGAGTTGTCTCAATTTGCACTGATTTCAAACTCAGTCAAATTTGTTTAGTTGCTTTCGTTACTCTCATAAGTGCACTTAAACATTTTATTTGCTTCAGTCAGTAACACAGACTTCAACAGTACACCTGTGGGTATTCAGATTCTTGCCATCTCTCTTGACTTCTATCATTTTAGTCCTTAAAAAAAAAAAACTTTCTTTACATTTCGATTAATAAAAATGTTTCAACAATTATCATAGAAAACCTTACATATATAGAAAAATATCCAGGTATAGCTGAAATTGTGTACACTTTTACCAGTGATCCACTGAATACCTACGTTTTGCTATTTGGAATGGTTCCTTTCTTCTGTTCAATGAAGTCCTCTGAAACACTGAGAGCTAACCAAGCACCACCAATGCCCCGAAACAGCGTGTCCTTGACATGAAAAACATCACCAATCTTGAAGGAGTGCTCATTGATGTCTGTGGCAGTGTGGTTGAAGTGAGTCCTGTAGAAAATTCAAAAAAAGATTTGCTCATTTAACAGTGACCGTAAATTACAGCTTTATCTCCACCACTGTGGTCCTAAGCCTGGATGAAAAAGGAGGAGGGTTTGTGTGTGAAGCCAGCTACCTCACCACAAGATTTTTTTTAAAAGCTTTGGAAACTTGCAGAAAAGAATATTGAGTTGAGTTGAATTGAGTCAAGAATTGACATCACAGCACTCGGGGCATTCCCATGCATGCTCCGTCCTCATCTTCAGCAGCCAGCGCAGAATTCCAATACTGATGGTACCGGTCACAATCTGGTTAGAAGTCCGTCTTGCCTTTCCTCTGAGTGTAGTTAGCCGGCCAGACCCTCTGGTTACACCCAGGTGCCTCATTCTCTTCAGACCATTATAAAAAAAATTATGATACGCATTGGCAAAAGCAACAACAATCTGAAAAAAAAAAATATGGAGCTCCAAGTTATACAACTTTAAGACCAAACCACGCATCTTCAATTCTAAAGTTATTTCTGTTATAACATATGCCAGTGAAAGTTAGAGAACCACCAAAGACAGCGAAAGGAAAGTTAATAGCATTTGAAACAAATGCCTGAGAAAAATGAACATAAAATGGGATGAGGAGTGAGGAGATTAGAGAAATAACTAGAAAAACACCTGTATGGACTACAATAAGACAAAAAAGGTGGAGATATATTGGGCACACTCTGAGACGAAATGAGCAAAGAATTTTTTTTTTAACGGCACTGAAATGGGAAAAAAACGATCTGAGAATAAGAGGACGACCAAGGAAAACATTAATGAGAACATTATTACAAGAAGCAAAAAATGCTGGGCTGAACTCCATGTCAGAAATTGAGAAAGTTGCATGCAACAGAGTGGAGGAATCAAATGTGAGCCCTATGTGACGTCTACCGGCACACAATGGATGATGATGATACACTACAGTCATATTGCAGTACCAGTTCTGAATTAGCCAAACATTTCGGCACAGACAACTGCAAGCATGAGGATAGTGATGGAGGCAATTACATGTGCAAAGCGGCACAATTTTTTAATGAAAGCGTAATCTGACAAACCAGGAAGTAGGAGAGGAAAAGTCAGATGTGTGTACAACCAACCAGTGTGCTACTGGAACAGTCAACATACACACACTGAGACATTTGCTGCTGCAGATAACCTAGCTATGGATAAACTGCAAAAGAAATACAGTATACAATAAAGGGAAACTATAAAAGAAATGCAGAACATGATGAAAGGATTGTAAAACACTGTCAAAGAAATACAGTCAATAAAAGGATAGCGGCAAGCAGTAAAAGAGACATAGAATTCAATAAAAGGAATGACAATGTCAGAATGAAACATGCCCCAAATGGGTCCAAGGTCCCATTATGAGAGAAAAAAACAACCAGACTAAACCTGCTGCCCCTTTAACAATCATGTCATAAGAGTGGACTGAATAAGGGTTTTTCCTTCGGAGTCAGAGCACATCTGCCTGTTAGCTGGGAAACCAGCAGCCTGCATACAAATAAGCCTGATTTGTAAAGTGGATGTACATGCAAAACTCAGGTTCTGGAACACGATTCAAGTACAACCGGTAAACAAGAAAAAGAAAAGGAGGAGGAAGAGAAGAAGAGGAAGAAGAATAACAAGAGGAGGAGGAGGAGGAAGAAGAGGAGAAGGAAGAAGAGAAGAAGGAGAATAAGAAGAAAAAGGAGGAGGAAGAGAAGGAGGAAGAAGAAGATGAGGAGGAGAGGAGGAGAAGAAGAAGAGGAAGAAGAAGAAGAAGAAGAGGAAGAAGAAGTAGAAGACAAAAAGGAGGAGAAGAAGAAAGAGGAGAAGAAGGAGAAGAAGAAAGAAAAGAAGGAGAAGGGAAAGAAAAAGAGGATGAGGAGGAGTAGAAGAAGAAGAAGAAGAAGAAGAAGAAGAAGAAGAAGAAGAAGAAGGAGGAGGAGGAGAAGAAGAGGAGAAGGAGGAAAAACACACAGAAACACTAACCTGATATAGAAAGAATCTCCTGCCTCATGACTTGCCATGATTCGATCGTATTCTGGGGAAAAAGAAAAATCAGTATAAATACTGATCACTATTTTAGCTGCAATAGTGCAGTGACTAACATGTTTGCCTGCTAATCCAGATGTCGTGTGTTCTAGTCCAAATCAAGTTAGATGTTTATTTTGTCCTCTAAGGTTGCCTAAACATATACATTGGTACCAGGATATTTTTTGGGAAGTAAATAAATATGAAGAAAAAAGCGAATAAAGCTTTTTTTTAAAATAAAATACACAATAATTAATGCACTAAAAAGATAAAAATAATTTATCATATAGTTTAATAAAAACAAGAGATTAAATAATTATCTCTACAAAATGCACCTACAATTTTATATCTTGACTATTAGAGTGTGGCTGCCTTGATAGTAATATACATGTAATAACACAATATATACATATATAACAATTTAATTACATGAATAAGGATAATGGCTCTTACTTTTCACAATTTAAGTCCAGCATTATATATTGTTTGTTAGATGCCCCATGTCTTGTATCTCTTCAGCAATCATTGACTGAGATGTCTTGTATCTCTCCAGCAATCATTCAATGAAAAATATCTCTCCAGCAATCATTTACTGAGATGTCTTGTATCTCTCCAGCAATCATTCAATGATATGTCTTGTATCTCTCCAGCAATCATTTACTGAGGTGTCTTGTATCTCCCCAGCAATCATTTACTGGGATGTCTTGTATCTCTCCAGCAATCATTCACTGATATATTTTGAATCTCTCCAGCAATCATTTACTGATATGTCTTGTATCTCTCCAACAATCATTTACTGATATATTTTGAATCTCTACAGCAATCATTTACTGAGATTTCTTGTATCTCTCCAGCAATCATTTACTGAGAATTCTTGTATCTCTCCAGCAATTATTCACTGATATATTTTGGATCTCTACAGCAATCATATACAGAGATTTCTTGTATCTCTCCAGCAATCATTTACTGAGAATTCTTGTATCTCTCCAGCAATTATTCACTGATATATTTTGGATCTCTACAGCAATCATATACAGAGATTTCTTGTATCTGTCCAGCAATCATTTACTAATATGTTGTGTACCTCTCCAGCAAATATTTACAGAGAAACACCATATGTCTTCAGTAATAATTTTTGTAGCTGTGTGAACATCTGCCAACTAACCTTCCTTTCTGTACTGTACCACCAGTGTCACCTGCCCCTCAAGACTGGTCAGGAAATGGACAGCTTCCTCACGAGTCATCCCTGTGATCTCCTTCTCATTGGCCTATAGAAAAAAAAGCAATTTAAGAGTCAACTTATTTAAGTACTTATTCTTTGTATCAAATAGTGCACACACGCATGTGCGTGCACATATGTGTGAATGGAACCCCAACACAGACAGTGTTGTTCACTGTTTATTTAAAGATCATCTTAATCGCACATCGGATGTGACCATAAGTGCTCCAATCTCTTCCTGAGTATGTCTCTAAGTAGATAGTGTTGACAAACAGCTAAATGAAGTTAGCTGTGTTTACTGTACAGGTCATTGCAGTATTTTTGTTGCTGTTTGTGATTTCATTAGACAATTTTTACATTCAGACATTTGTCAAAGGCTCAAAGACTCTCCTTACATTGCAAAAGTAGTTTTGGCAGTTTGCCATTGCTTTCTGAATTATCAGTTCTTCATACCACTATTGAAACCAATGCAAGGTGGTCTACTGTCAAATCGCTCAGTGCTGGGATCAAACCCCAATCAGTTACACTTTTCACACACACACACACACACACACACACACACAAACACACACAAAGTACTGGTTAGTTTTTAAAGAATGAAAAAAAAAAAAGTAAATTCTACACATGGATTATTTCTAAAGGATCAGATCAATTATGGGGTAGCCTGTTTTCAGGAAAGTTAACTGAACGACAAATAAATAAAAAATTGACACCACTGCCCTCAGGAAATTCCCACACGTGCTCTGTCCCCTTCTTTAGTAGCCAATGTAGAGTTTAACATGCTAATGGTGCCAGCTGCAACCCGATTAAAGGTCCACCTCTTGTTTCCCCTTCAAACATGAGAACAGAGGAATAGGTGATTCTGGACCAAGAGTTTTGTATGAGATAATTAGGAAACTTTTTTCTATGGCTGGGCTGTTCAAGGGGCAACCTGCAGAAGCCTAGTAAGTGGCCAATGGATCACTGCCATTTGTCTTGCTCTAAAGACCTTTTTAAAGCTCGGGCCTTTGTTCCCTGATGATCCCCTTCTTCAACATTTTCAATAAAGAATCCCCCTCCTTCCCTTCCCCTCCACCTTTTCCAGGTAAACTTAATTGAACAGCCCCTTTCTATAGAAAGCCAAAAGATACACACACACACACACAAATATTTGTTTTAAAAAAAGTACTTACCAGAATGATCTGATCGCCTTCCACAAGTCCTTCTCTCTCTCCTGCACTTCCAGGCTGAACACTGGCAATAAAGATTCCTGTGGCATTTCCACCTGCAAGTCTTAAACCCAGCCCTGTCTGTTTGTCTTTAGGAAAGCTTACACTTCGGGGATCTAAACTGTTTAGGAAGAAAGGTATACACAGGCATATTACAGTACTGCTGAATACTGTGCATCCTGGTCATATCATTACAGCCTGTTTTTACTGTCTGAGAGGCAAACCTACAAGTGTTCAGTCTTCTGCAGCAAAAACTGGAAAGTTTATCTATGTTGTGTATTTTTTATTTTTAATGTACAGGACATTGCAGAAGCAAAACCAAGCTTTTCTGATGGGACCTGTTTGTGATTTTGCTAAGCAATTTTACATTCAGTAGTTTTCCATTGCTCTCTGAATGGTCAGATCTCGATACCACTGACAAAACTAACACTGCTGCTAAATGGAATGCAGCTAGGATCGAACTTGGCACCTCCGCATTATGAAGTGGGTTCACAACTAAGCCACTGACGTCGACTGCTGTGTCTATCTATGAAGAACAATTTGCGTAATTGAAATTGGTGTTATCATATTCGTTCAACTGGCGACATACAAAATTATACTTCTTTTCCTTTTTTGTGTTCATTAGTTTGAACTGGCAGAAAGTTTAAGTTTTTTTTTCTCCACTTAGTTTTGTTCCAGAACTTGAGTTCTGCATGCACATCTGGTCTATTTGACAGACCTGGCTTAGTGGTATACAACTGTTGGTTACTCACCTCACAGACAAATACACTTGGGGTCTGAAGGCAGGCATTGGGTCTATCCCCCCCCCCCCCCCCCCCCCCCCCCCAATGGATTCACATAGGTCATAGACTATACAATGAGCATGTTTTATACTGCTTCTTAAACAGTTAACAATGTATCGTTAAATACAGAATATCAAAAACAGGCTTTTGTATGTAAAAATACTTTAAAATGTGCCAAAATTTGACATTTGCCAGGTCCAAATCAAAAAGCAGATGAATTAAAAGAACAGAGAGCCTGAAGAAGGGTTAGTCCTTAATTCCTGTGACAGTTGTTTGAATGCCCAGCTTTATAAGATAAAGACTAACAAATAGAATCTGTAATGACGCTTCAACATCACAGTAGGCAGTTTTTTTTACTGCTATCCTGGCAGTTGAATAAAATGCACACACAAACACACACACAAAACTCATTACTGAGCCTGAGAATTTAGGGCAGTCCCCACAGTCTGTGCAAGTAAGAATTGTATTTTTGACCCTATCAGAAAACATCCACCTCCATACTCAGGATTTGAACCCGGGTCTCACGAATGAAAGCCCAGTGTTCTTACCAGCTTAGCCATCCCCTTCTCCCTTTACAGTGCAGGACACCTTAACCTCATCCACTATTATTCCAGAATCTATAGCATTTATGTTTCCCTGAACTTAGACAAGTGGCAAATAAAATGTTAATTTGTGAGCAACGCTATGCTATATTAAAGGTTTAAAACTTCCCTTTGTAGGGAAAGTTGTGCCCTGAAAGCAAAGCCAATCATCACACAATGCAAAATATGCCAAACAGTTAAACATTATCACATCTGCAAGATTACTTATATAGTATAATCCAGGACCTGACACAAGATATTATCTCAAGGACTTCACTACAAACACTGACAACAACTATTTCCCTGAAAATATGGTCTAACCCACACACAACAAGTCTTAGCATATTTCAAGATGCTCGTAATATAATTAATCAATCAGTCAGGTCAACCTCTACAAAGGTTGGTTACCATGGATCTAAAACACACTCTTGTCTTTCACCCTGGATGTACACTCTCTCACCCTGTTGTTTCTCTCTTGAAATTATCCTTCCATTTGTACCAGTACCTGCCTCTTGCTTGCTTGCCTTGCATGTGTCCCTCTAGTGTGGTTTTTCGGGGTGATTTTGACTACATCATCCGCCTAGTGCCAACCAGTCTCTAAAATACTATAATATAGGTCTAGCCCTATATGCCCAATACCCCTCAAGGTGTAGGAAAGGGCCATTAGTATTGTTTTTATAAGATGGTTATAACAGGGAATGCTCCCCCAGAAAACAAATGCCTGAAGAAGTTGAATGAGTCTGATAAAAGCAACAAATATTGCAGCTATGTTATAAACAGGCACATTAAATTTATGTCACTCAGAAAAAGAAGTTTAAATTGTTATGTCTTTTATTATATGTTATGTTTTTTAATGTTTGTAATATCAGTCAGACTCCATATATAAGCCCTAGTTAAGATCGTCAGCCACACGAATGGATTTTATTCACCCATTGAAACATTCAATTGAAGTATTGAATTAAAAAGTCATGAATGAATAAACAAACACAAATAGTTTTGATATGAATACTTTAAAAATATAATAATATACACACAAAAATAATTAGGTATTTGTAAAAGAAAAATCCACATAAAATAACACACCCCCCCCCCCCCCCCCCCCCCCCCCCCCCCCCCTCATAACAGTGTTATTTTCAGAAATGGCTGTAGTTAATGTTGCTACATTAGTCACACGTAAACTCAACAAATATTTTTCAGTCATAAATCATCTACTCTAAGATGTAGAGATATCTAATACTGATTTTATTTTAGCAGGGAGGAATAATTTGCGATCCAGTGCACGTTGGCTGTCACTTGCTGTTGTCATGTTGTGAAGGCGTAGAGTGTCTTTAATGTTATCGATTCATGTTTTCCGCGCCCGTCCTCTTGCTCTTGTAGCTGATCTTCTGAGATGTAGTGCTTGTGATGGTATTTGATCTTGCAGCATTCTAACAAGATGGCCAAACCACTTGATCTGCTGTTTCTCTATGAATCTAGTACAAGGTGTCGTTCCCACAATTTGCCTGATAGTTTCGTGTTATAATTCTTATTATTTATATATTCATTATTTCTTTCATTAAATAGCCAAAACAGCAGAAATGGTATTATCAACAGTGACAAAAGAGCAGAAATTGTAGTATCAACAGTGAGAAAAAGCAGAAATGGTATTATCAACAGCGAGAAAACAGCAGAAAAGTTATTATCCAGTGAGGACTGGAAGTACAGACTTTAAAAAAAAAAACATGGAATTTCATTCTCAGTACAACTAGCTTAAAGCACAAACAAAACATGCAACAGACACAGAAGGCATGCAGTCATTCGGCAGTGATATATTCTAGGTATGCAGGGAAACAGTGAGTTGTGTTATCAAAACCAGAACCTTGCAATAAAACCAAATCCTTCCAAGTGGGTTTTTGACCAAAAACCAACAGACAAGGAAACTACTACTGGTTACAGAAAGTTAAACCTAAACTCTCCTTATACAACATGTGTGGCGTTGGTAGTAATGTCTCTCCACAACCTTCTGTCTCGTGTAACTTAGTTTTTAAATATTATCTTCCATGCCATGATGTCAAACTGTCCAGGATTTTCTCTCAGTCTCCCTATGCTTCTTTTCCCCTCTAACTTTCCCAACCTCATGATGCACTCCAGATTTCTCCTTCTCAGGACATGATCAAAGAATCCAGATTTCTCCTTCTCAGGACATGATCAAAGAATACAGATTTCTCCTTCTCAGGACATGATAAAAGAATACAGATTTCTCCTTCTCAGGACATGATCAAAGAATACAGATTTCTCCTTCTCAGGACATGATCAAAGAATACAGATTTCTCATTCTCAGGACATGATCAAAGAATACAGATTTCTCCTTCTCAGGACATGATCAAAGTATACAGATTTCTCCTTCTCAGGACATGATCAAAGAATACAGATTTCTCCTTCTGATGTGGGCAATCAGTTCTCTTCCTGAGTCAGTTTATTTCCAGACATCTTTATTTCTCTTTTTCTCTTTTAAGAGTATTCACTCATCTTTAAAACCACATCTCCACCGCTTCGAAATAATTACTTTCTGACTGTTGAACTGCCCAAAGTTCCCTTCCATATATTAGGATAGAATTTATATAGTTTCAAGACATCTTTATTTCTTTTTTCTCTTTAAAAAGTATTCACTCATCTTTAAAACCACATCTCCACCGCTTCGAAATAATTACTTACTAACTGTTGAAATGTCCAAAGTTCCCTTCCATATATTAGGATAGAATTTATAGTTTCAAGACATCCTCATTAGTCTTTTTTTCTGTCAAGAGTATTCATTCATCTATAAAACCACTTTTCCACCGCTTCTGAATAAATTAGTCACTAACTGTCCAAGGTTCACTTCCATATATCAAGATAAGATTTGTATAGAGAAAACTCTTGAGAATTCAATTTCTTGTCTCAGCTGTATTCCTAAATTACCTAACTTCTCTTTCTTCTTCAAGCTGTATTCCTAAACTACCTAACTTCTCTTTGTTGTTTCAGTTGTATTCCTAAACTACCTTCTTTTTTTTTTCTTCTCTTCCACCTTATACCTCATCGAAGTGTAAACTACCTAACACTAAAAACTCCAGAGAGACTATAAAATAGGCACAAAGAAACTGAGAACAACCAAGATCATGCAAATAACACAATCCGATGCCAAGCACTAAACACTGACAACATCAATGAGTTACCAAATATCACTTCGCATGTCAACATAACGCCTGAAACAAAGCAGCGACAGTAATGGGTGCTGATGAAGTGCATTCACAAGTGTATTACATTATAAATTGTAATGATTGTTACTGGTAAGTCTGCAATATTTATCAACACATAATACACATTGTAATGACAGTGACTGGTGGGGAAATGCATTCACAAACATAATAAATTGTAATGACAGGGATGAGTATTAACTACATTCACAAACATAATAAATTCGAACAAAAGTGGCTGGTGAGTGAAATACATTTAAAAACATAATAAATTGTAATGATAGTGATGGGTAAGTTTTACCCTAACAGACCGCTGGCCCCCTTTCCCAGGAATTTCCTAATTAGCCGCTAAACCGCTGGCCCACTTTTCCGGGAATTTACGTAGTATGTGACAAATATGCATCACAGACTAAAAATAACCAGCCAATCGCCATCAGACTTCGTTGTTATTTCATTGCGAATGACTTCCCACGTGTGGTGAGATTTCTTTGTGTGGTTTAATGTGAAAAAAATTTGGAAAATTCTCAATGAAACGAGCGGCTTGGACAAGAAAGTGATGTAGGTCTAGGCTTTTCACAGTCCAACAGGTGATCGATACTTTGGTTAATTCAGTCTGTGAATATGTTCATAAAGAATACGTTCCCAGTTGAAGTGACACAGTCAGTGAGAGCTAGAGTGAGGAGAAGAATTATGAAAATTATAGATTTGAAACTAGATCGATAGTAAGAGAAAGGGGCGTGTCCCTCAAACAGCACCATTTGGTGCTTACTTTGAGGATCAAGACTGATCCTACTAGGTGGATTGGCACACAAAGGGGGAAGATTGGCGCTAGATGAAAGGTAAACCTATTGTCTACAATGTCTCCAAGTTTTATCTTATTCTAACCACTTGTTTGCATGCAACTAATTTTTTTTGTACATCTTGTTGGTTTTTTGCGTGTTAGTGCTCAGGAGCTCAGGTTATAGGGACAGTTAGGTTCAGGGCGTCAGGTCTGGTAGGGTTAAACTACATTCATAAACATAATAAATTGTAATAAAAGTGGCTGGTGAGTGAAATAATTCAAACACATAATAAATTGTAATGATAGTGGCTGTTAAGTGAATCACATTTGAAAACGCAAAGAACTGTAGTAACAATGGCAAGTGAGGGTAATACATTCATAAATATAATAAACTAAAAGTGGCTAGTGTATGCCAGCTACTGATTTAGGTGTATGGTGAAACATTATGGGCTGTGAATTCCACAGGGAATGCTTTTTGTCTCTGTTTCTGAAGATTTGTGATTTCGTAACTGCTCCTTCCTTAAAGTATGAATTGCAATTCTAGTGACAGACTGCTGGTGTTGGCACCTCTGGCGGCTGCCTTATGCATTAGTATTTGTACAAGCTACTGGTATTTTGCAAGGACTGCTGTCTTTTCATTTTATACATGGGACAGAGAAGAACATTGTGTGTGTTTTTCACCGGCACAAGAAGTGAGCAATTATGGGGTCACTCAATGAGGTATCAATCCCAACTGATAGCCTGATATTTTTGGGGAAGGTCTCTAATGTAAACACACACACAAACACAATTAAAACTTACTCATTAATTATCCTCCTAGGGAATGCCTCATCAACATAATCCCCAGACCTCTGCCACAGGGGAAGCTCCCCAGGGCCTGGCCATGTGCCTCCTTGATCGCTATAGTAACCATCATGGCTGACAGGTGGGAAAGATTTCATATCCTCTTGCTGATGTAGGACATCTGAATAATTAGACACGGAAAGTATTCATAGCATAATACAGGCATCACTTTGAAATGTCAATCAATGGCAGCATGCTGTGATTTCCTGAAGCTGCAACAATTAATCACTTCTGTCCAGATTTGTGCAAACAGAAGGATTTGGTAATGAACTACACTTGCCCTGGTAAAACAGGCAATTACTTTTGAGAATGGTTTATTCTGTGTTTCTGTTTTAAGATTAAAAAACTGACTGAAAGGACAAAGCTTTCACCATCTATCAAAACTGTACTACACAAAAAACAGTGAAATCCTTTCTAAAGATCCTTAAACATGGGAAATGATCCAGGCATACAGCATAGACCTACAGCCTAACAATACAGTCACAACAACAATTCCAGGAATAGACAGAAAGGCTGAAGAATGTGACCTAGTACTGCATGTGAAGACCATTGAACATGTCTACAACTCTTATCCAAAACCCAAATGGAGACAGGTATACATTGATGGATCATCGGAGGAAGCAGAAAAAAAAAACAGGGGAGCTGGATCGGTCATCATGATGCAAGATGGGAAAACAGTAGAAGCCTTAGGCATGCAAACATGACAGTCAAAGTGGAGGGAGCTGATCAGACAGTCAACAACAACTTGCGACCCAACATAGTCTAGTTGACTGGACTATCCTTACGATGATGATGAACATTTTTTTTAAAAAACTATATGCAGAAACTGCTATCTAATTGAAAACAAAACCCCCCCAAAAAAACAAAGAGAAACTTCTGGACAATCATCGTTTCAATGGTATCAACAGTATTAAGATAATGAAGATGGCAATATAGTGGGCACATGAGAGACAGGCCAAAGATGTGCGACTCCATCAATAATAATGAATATATTGCACAGGATGGACAAGAATGGAGTAGCAGTTGCAAGCCCTTGGTGACATATAAACAGCACAAACAGATAAGGATAATAACATTCCATTATCATTTCATGTGAAAGCCACGCTGCTTCAGTATCCTGACTCCAGAACGTTAGTTATGCTGTAAACAGGCACAACACACTTATGCCCTGAGTGATGAAAAACAAGATGAAGGTAACACTCACTGGTTTCAAAACTTCGCGGCAAGGTAGACACTGTTGGCAGATCGTTGTCTAGAACATAGTGGCCATCATATCTTGTGTTCTCCGAGTTGGGATAAGCGCCAGGAGGGACCGCATGCTGCACTCCAGACGTTGGATCTCTCACATATAACTCTTCTTCCAAGCGTGTCCCTGCTCTGTAGATGTTGACATCACTTTTATCCCAAACTGAAGAAATAAACAAATATCAGTGACATCAAACTGTTATTTTGTGAAAGTGATCATAAAATAGTGAAATAATATAAATGCCAGTCACCTGTGAGGTTAAAACCTGTGTGCCAATCATGCATAATTATAGCCTTCTTAATAACATATTTTAATACTTCATTTTCTCTTGTGCACGCTCTATGAGTGTCTCTGTTGTGTCTGTAAGAGTGTGTATATCTGTGTATGCTGTGTCAGTGGGTGCTGTGTGTTAGTGGTATTTCTATGAGTGTTGTGTGTCTGTGAGTGTTGTGTTTGTACTGAGTTTGTGTTGAGTCTGTGAATGCATTGTGTGTGTGTGTGTGTGTAGGCTGTGTCAAGGTGTATGTGTTGTGTCTGTGAGAGTGTGTATATCTGTGTATGTTGTGTCCATGTGTGTTGTGTGTGTCTGTGTGTATGCACTGTCAGTGTGTGTTTTGTATCTGTGTGTATGTGTTGTGTCTGTGATTATGTGTATGCCTGTTTATTTTGTGTGTCGTCAGTAGGACAAAGGACCTGATACTGACATGCAAGTTCATAGAGGCAACCCAAATGATGATCCTATCTGAGCATACGAAACCAAACGCAAAGAAGAAGAACCATTACCTGAGTAATTACTTTAATATTAACAATGAAAATCACGATGCTACTGATGAAGAGAATGATCATCATAATGATGATGTTGTCAAAACCAGTGAACCATTAACAATTGTCCTGACTCACCAACATCATTAGCAACAGCAGCTGGGGAAGCAAATGAAGAGCTAGTATAGCCTCCCTCCTCTTGGACAACCAACTGGAGCTTGTCACGGGTTTTGTCTATGAGTTTCTTTGCCTCCGCCAAAGAGAGATTTTCTACAGGTGTGTTATTGATCTGTGAAATATCAATTATGCATCTGTTTTTAAAATCTGATTGCTCCTGTATTTATTACACAAATCGTTTTTGTTTCTAAATAATGACACTTCTGTCCTAACTGTGATTGTAACTGACTCACAAAGCATACTGAGAAAGGGGGAGACAGGTATGATCTGTGCAGAGTGGCAAGTACCACATCAGAGGGGTCCCAGGTAGTCAGTGCCATCTGAATGTTTTCTCCATGTCATGGTGACAAAATGAGCACAAATCAGGTGTGTTTGGAAATTAACAGACAGACAGACTGGCTGGTTCTGCGCTATCTGGTGGTAAACTGATGCAGACAAGCTAGATGTTATCAGGGCTTTTTGGAAGTGGGTAAACAGTGCAGAGGCACAAAAAAGGAGAGCTAGCTGGCACTCAATACTTAGGGGGAATGAGAAACAGGCATAATCAGATTGTTACTTGTAGCATCAGAACTAAACGGTTCTTTATTAATATCTTACCCCAGATGACGTCACAGCCCAACATTTTAGAGGGTGGTGAGACTGGGTTTCCCGACTTTCTGATGCTTTTAACGACACCAAAACATCTAGAACTGGCCCTAACCCCAACCCACCTACATTCCATGAGAGAGTGCAGCCTAGGCCCCACGACTGCATGCAGCTTAAGTCTCACAACTGCATGCATCCTATCTACCACCCTCTGAAATATTAGATTGTCCTATGACCTGTGGATTTCCCCTGTTTGGAGTAGGATATGAATATAGCACCGAACTAGAACTCTGTGCTGCCAGCTGAAGATGGTGATAGTGCAATTATAGGAATGCCCTGTGTGCTGTGATCCTGAATTTTAACTCTAACTCAACTCCTGTCCTAATTATGCATTTGGCTTTCTCCACCTCATATAGCTGTTACATTAACCTAGCTGATCCTGGATCAGTCTGTTCCAGCCAGCTGTTATACTGACTGTATGTGATAAGAGTTAAATCAATCCAAAAAAATAACATACATTAAAAACGGATGACCATGATATGCAAACATTTCATTAGTGTGATGAGGGGCACCAGAACCTGGGGACTAAGGCACCCTGAGCCTAAACAAATGTCAGGGGCAGTTTGAGAGCCCCCCCCCCCCCCCACTTTGTTTTCTCTCCAACCATAGATAGAAGTTATCCTTTAAAGTATTTGCTTACATATTTATATATTTGCTTCTTCTGTCTTTCCAGCCCCAGTGGAGCATAGGTCCTCAACCAACTCATGCAAAGATGTTCTATCCTTCACTATCGCATGCAGCTTTCTCCATGTTCTCCCCATCTTTTTGACATCACTCTCTAGCTCCCCTTTTTCCGTGTGTTTATTGGTCTTCATCTATTTCTAGGCCCCTGAGGGACGCTTTCTATTAGCGTGTGTTTATTGGTCTTCATCTATTTCTAGGCCCCTGAGGGACGCTTTCTATTAGCGTGTGTTTATTGGTCTTCATCTATTTCTAGGCCCCTGAGGAACGCTTTCTATTAGCGTGTGTTTATTGGTCTTCATCTATTTCTAGGCCCCTGAGGGACATTTCATATTACTTTAAATATATAATTCTATTTATTTTCCCCACAGCACATAATAATAATAATAGCAGAAAATTCTAAATCCATTAAGTATGACTAATCTATGAAATCTATCATAAATATGTCTCCCAGAACAGATAGCAGACTTTGGCAATGGCAAGTGAGATTGGCTAGATTCTAGGCCAGTGGCTCTCAACCTTCCTATTGCAGCGACCCATTAATAAAGTCCCCTCATGTTGTGATGACCCCCCAAACAATTATTTTCCTTCATAACTTCAATGAATATGCGTTTTCCGATGGTCTTTGGCGACCCCTGTGAAAAGTGTCGTTTGACCCAAAAAAAGGTCACAGCTGGCAGGCTGAGAACCACTGTTTTAGAGCAACTTTACAAATCTTGAATTTATATTATGCATACATTGACTCAAAAATGCAAGTATCGGTCTTACCTTTAAAACAATTTGTCCTTTTTTCAAAGCAGATTCCTGGGAAGCTAGTGACTGCTGAACTATCTCCTTAATGAATAGTTTGCAACCCAGCACAATACCAAAATCTGAGGATTAAACAATTATTTAAGAAAGAAAAATAATAAAAACAGTATAAAAATGAAATCACAACTGAGTGATTTTCTAATATCTTCAGTTATCTGTACTCCTTCCAATACTAAGTGGGTAAGCCAGTGTATGAGCCCTATGACATGACATGTGGCATTTAGGAGATGGTGTCTGAAGTCTATACTAGTGCCTCAGGTGGCATAATCATTGACCCTGATGTTTATGTGTAGCAGACAATAAACCTAGGATTTATGTATCAGAAATGACTTCTTCTTCTTCTTCTTCTTCTTTGTTCACCGGCTATAAGCTTCAGCAGAAAGTCCTGGTTGTTCGTCCATTTGAACTTAGACTTTGTGCCAGTGCCTGAGTTTTTGCGTGTACACCCGTTTTACTGGTCCATTTGTGTGCAGCTGGTTGGTCCTTTCTGGTCAGACAGTGTCGCATGACAGAATCCACACATCTGCCGCAGTAGGGAGGTCCACAGGCTGAACACCCCCAAAATCGTCATCGTAACTATGATTTAGTATGGGCCGACCATAGTTATATAGTTCGTTTGTTGTGGGGGAGTCCTGATAGTAAAGATTCCTATAAATCACTATGATATTGACTCTTTTAGGCTTTTAGTGTCGAATTACACGTTAGGACACATTTTCTACGCCTATTCTAAATAAATTGTCTGACCCCTGCACTGCATTCGTGAGCGGGATTCGTACGCTAACTGCTGTAGTTGGGGAACGTGTTTTTGTGCGTCACTTCTCTATGGTCCGGTCTTGGAGGCAGTCGCTTTCATTGTGTGTCGCCAATTGACTGTTAAAAAGACAAGATTCTTCATTCTCTTTTCATTTATCATGGGTGAGTTTTCATAGGGACTTTTAATTGAATATTGGTGCTCAAAGTGTCTGTGAGGTAGGTAAGTAAGGTCAGCAGATTGATAATGCGAATCTGTTTGACTACGATTCTTGCGATGGAAGACGGCGAAGGGAGCTCCGGATTGGAATGCACTTTCGGCTGACATTTCTCGGAGAATTCTTCGAAATGGCCTTCTAAACCTCTTCGGATTAATCAATCCACATATCTGGAGTGGGTTTGTGGTATTGATAACTTTGTATGATTATTTATTTGCTGTTATTCGGTATCAGAACTTGGTAAGTCGCTGAACGCTGTGAATGACAAGAAGCTTCTGGGCAGGCATGAAGTAATATCCGCTGTTGCTAGGTGACTTCGTAACCACAACAAGCTTAGACTGTCGTATTGTTTTCAGAACATATTTCAGTCGGTCTTAGTTTTGACTTCATCGCCGATCCCTTATCTTCCCTATTAATGGAAAAGGTATTTTAGAAGGGAGGGTAAATAATGGAGATCTGTCTAACCTTCACTACAGGACTGAATCCAGGAACTATTCGAGTTATTGATCTAGTGCTCACTCTAGGAAACTAAATGGATTCCAAGATAGAGGTAACCAACCTTCATGGTTTGGAATAACCTCAAGTATATCTGAGCATTGGGAGGGAGTAAGGACTTTGATTAAATAGGTGCGTTGGGTACGGTTCGCTCATGGCTGTTGCTTTGCGTTTTTCAGGATTTCTGAAGATCCAACAAGTGTCCGTGTCTGGTAGAGTGATTCCATCTGCCACCACCCAATAAGCAATTGACGTGTGGTGAATTGCTTGGCTGAATGTGTGGACGATGCTTGAGTCGACGTCTTCCGATTTCGAGTTGATTGTCCTTGATCAATGCCAGAGGCTGCTTCGTTCCTGTGAAGTCGTGCTGTGAAGTACGGCAGTGAGAAACTCCTTTCCGGCATCCTGAGAAGCTGCTTCGTTCCTGTGAAGTCGTGCTATAAAGTACGGTGGTGTGAAACTCCATTCCGGCATCCTGAGGAGCTATGAGATCTAATCAGATAAGTTGAAGTAATAGTCGTGAAATGGCTCGACTCCAAATGGGCCTTAGTAATCAATTCTCCACTTCCGCCATGATGATCCAGGAAGTTGATGTGTCTATGTAGAAAAACTCTTTCTCTTGTGTTAGATTTTCAAAGATTTGAACATTCCTTTTGAATTCTTCACGCTACTTTTCGTTATGGTGAATTAATTACATTTATGTTATAGTTCATCAGTCTTCTGGTTAGTAGAAAAGTTTCGTTTTATTGAAATTCATTGCCTTATTCAGAAAGGTGATGTTGTCTTGTCAAATTCACTGTTGATTACTTGTTCGACTGGGTTTACATTATCCCAGTCTGGGGGCATAAAAGTGGTGGGGACGTCTGGTCGAGAGGTACGCAAGTGTTCATAATAACCCTGTGGAGTCAGAGCTCGTGTCACCTCATCCCTGAGACAGGTTGAATGGAAAGTTTGAACCGAGGGTTAGGCCTCTAGACGAACGAGAGCCACCATTCAAAACACTCCTGTCTCAGAGCACCTGAGGGATTTGTGAAAATATCCTGCAAGTAAGGTGCGCGACAAAACTGCCATACGACAGTCATATGCACTGTGACTTCAAAGGAAGCTCCCAATTAGTTGATTCCTATAATATTCTTGTTGAAGCTGCAGTGTGTCTATTCTTGCTTTTCCTATCATGGGACCCCAGAACCCACAGGGGTTATAAGAAATAACTGCTTGTACACAAGACAAAACTAATTTGTGGACAGACATGATTGTCACTGCCACATGGCAGAGACTATATAGAGACTACTTAATGTTCAATGACATCTATGGTGACAACATCACATGACATAAAATAAAGATGAAGAACTGCAGGAATGCCATGAATCTGAAACTACTACCAGGATGAGGTGGGAGGAAGAATAGGGAGGGGGAGAGAGAGAGTCTGAGAAAGAGAAGAGAGTGAGAGAGAGAAAGAGAGACAGAGAGAGAGAGAGAGAGAGAGAGGCAGAGAGAGAGAGAAAGGGGAGAGGGAGAGAGAGAGAGAGAGAGAGAGAGAGAGAGAGAGAGAGAGAGAGAGAGAGAGAGAGAGAGAGAGAGAGAGAGAGAGAGAGAGAGAGAGAGAGAGAGAGCGAGACTGTCTGCCAAACATAACCCATAGAAATATAGTTTCAAAAAATAATGTTTGTTCATTGATTCCATTCATGTCTGCAGATTTTGTTGGAAACATTTTCTTGATGCCCTAGAACAGGGATATTCAACTAAGTTTTCCGAGGGGCCAAAATTGGGAAAATAAGGATCATCATGGGCCAGAGGGCTAAACCTTAATGTAGAAAGATCATTAATACAATACAACTGGCAGTGATCCATGGGCCACTTGCTAGGCCGCCAGTTAAATAGCCCTGCCCTAGAAGATGCATGTTTCCTGATCATAAAACAATATAACAGATCCACCACTTCAGGGGATGACATTCAAGTACACATTTCTTACCGTCTTTTTTGTTCGTTTTGCTCAGATTGATCCTGAATGGAGGGCTAGATCTTTCCACTGGTGAGCTAGGCAGCAAAACTCTTCGCCTCACAACCTGTCAGCAGAAAATTGTCATAAACTTATCAATTACATCAAAATTATTTCTTATGATGTAAAAATACTCTAAAATATAAGTTTAATTACTGAAATTAAACAACGCACATTTAAGAACATTCATTTCCTCATTAATATTTTTTCTTGTAGCTTCTTATTATTATTTTCCGTGGTCACTGGCTGTAAACTCTGGTGGAAAGTTCCAGGTGTTCGTTCACTTTCAGACTTTAGTCTTGTTTCATACGAGTGTTGCAGGCACATTCATTTCAGACATCTGACTTCTTTGTATGCAGACTCTTGGTTTCTTGCCTCTCAGGCAGATGCATCTCTGACTCTGAAGTCAGTCTGCATCTGCCAAACAGGCCAGCAAGCCACAGTCTGTATACAAATAAATCAAGTTCTGGAACAAGACTAAAGTCCAGAAACAGACAAACAACCAGAACTTTCTGCCAAAGTTTACAGCTGGCAACACTAAGAGGAAGAAGACAACTTTCTGGTGCAGACAGGGTTGAACAAACAGAAAGCACTTACCAGGTTGACTATGTTTCCACAATCCCTCAGCACGGTAATGGCAGTGTTGTGATCCACGTTGTCCAAGGGGATACCGTTGACACTTACGATCCGATCATTTATTCTATGGACAAGATGATCAAGTCATAGATCAGTTCTATTCTATGAACAAGATGATCAAATCACAGATCAAGTCACAGATCAATTCATGCGTTTTTTGTAAGTTAATGAAAATATTGTCATCTGAACAAAGAAGACACAAAAAACCAGTCATTTACTTTTTTAAAACAAACAACCAATCATTTAGTTTCTTTTTAAACAAGATAACAGACAGAAGAAAGAGAGGGAGGAGCAGAGAGAAATAGTGAATGGAGAAAATAAGTGACAACAAGGGAGATAGCTCACACAAATGATCAGAGTGAAAGAAAGAATAGGTCAGTGAGAAACTGTACTATGCCACATTTATCATTACAGTGAGAGAGAGAGAATGAATCAATGAGAAACAGAATTATGTCACATGAATAAATAGGGTCAATGACAAACAGAGAATTATTTAACTCAGATAAACAGACTAAGAGAAAGAATGGATCAGTGAGAAACAGAAAGTTATTACCAGTTTTTTTAAAAAAAAGGGAGAGAAAGAATGGTTCAGTGAAAAACAGCTACAATTTAAGAAAGAGTGATACATGAACATAAATTAGACTGATTAAAGGACAGAGTAAGTGGGCAAGGGGTGAGGGAGGAGGGTGTGTATGTGTGTGTATGTCAGACAGCAAGAGAGGGAGAGATAGAGGAGAAAGGAAATGAGAGACCTTTCACCAGTTTACAACAACAAAATATAGTGACAGAGACTGTATGAAGGTCCCTGGAGATACAAAGTTAGTGCTTTGCCTGACACTGTCACTAGGTGGCGGTTTTGCAGAGGGACCGAGCCAAATGAGATAATAACTTAGTGCAATTTCACAAAGTTCAGGAAAGAGTACTCAAAAGATCCTCATATCTCGTCCAGACACAATAACAATAACGGACAGTGAAAAACCATAAATGTCAACGATTCAAACAATTCAACTATAAATAAACAATAAAACGGAGATCAAACATACTGCAATTTTCCCTCAGCAGGACCAGCCTTGAGGACATCAGAAATGGCTACAGACGGGTCGCCATTGGCAAAATGAGGACTGTCCCGCCCTCCACTGACAGCAATGCCAAACCCAAACGTTGGGGCCTGGGGACATCAAGAAATACTTGCTTTATTTCACATCTATTCTATTTAGGGCGGGAAATCATATGATTAGTTTAGTTTACTCATTATGTTAATCCAAACATGACTATATGTTCTCTCTGAGGGTTGTGGTTTTATTCTTCTTTTTCTTCTCTGCATTCACCAGCTGTAAACTCCATCATTAGATTTTGACTGTTCCCGCAGCACACTGGTTATACACACATCTTGGGTTTATTACATGGAGTGTATCATTCAGAGTTAGTGCTTTGTACATGTTTGTATGTGATATTTTTGGGGCTCATTTGTTTTGATTTTAAAAAAGAAACCAAATGTCTTTAATATCTTTACTGCGTGTCTATACTACCTGGCGTTGTAAGCCATGAACTGAGTAGGAATGGATCAGTGAGAGACAGGGATAAATATATCGAAAGAGTGATACATGAACATAAATTAGACTGATTGCGGGAAAGAGTAAGTGGGCTAGGGGTGAGGGAGATGTGTGTGTATGCCAGACAGCAAGAGAGGGAGAAAGGGAGGGAGAGACCATTCACCAGTTTACAGAGGAAAAGAAAGATAGTGACAGAGACTGTAGGAAGGTCCATAGAAATACAGAGTGATCTATTGTTTGTGTTTTCTTTTTCCAAATGTACAGATATGACCAAGTCAAAAAAAGATGACTTACCTTCTGCAACCTGACATTGTGAGTCTCCCAAACTACATTAGGGTTGGTCTGAAATCATTCCACCAAAAATAGTTGTGAGAGTTAGCAATAAATATGTTCATGGTATACATCCACTGTTAGAGTCAAATAAGTGGGCTGGCAGGAAGTGGATGAGAATGAGAAGAGAGAAAAATAGGGAAGAGAATGAGAAGGAGCAAAAGCAAAAGAAAGGGAGAAGAAGAAATAACCGGAAAGACGGAGTAGGAGGAGAAGAAGGAGGACGGAATAACAACGATAGATAAGAAGAAATGTGGCTAACCCACACTGACAACCTAATAAACGTGGAGTGGAAACAAACACTTGGACAAGTTAACCCTGATAGTACCCAGGCATGCCACCCATTGTACACCAGTTCACCCTGGACCATATGTTGCAATCTAGGGGCAACGAAATACCCAACTCCGACCAGGCATTGACCAGTCCATATTTCCTGAACTCAGTCATAAGCTAGTTACATCACTCTCATCAGATGTCAAATCTTGGTGCTGTATTTGGCTTAAGGCCCTAGTTCCCGGGCTTGCAGAGGGGGGTGGGGGGAAGGATAAACTGGCCATCAGGGACAATGGACACTTGTACTCGATGATCATGAATTTGTTAAACTTATTCACAAACCTTTAAGTCACAGATCGCTTCTTGTTGCTCGTCCACTTCTGGACTTTAGTCTAAATTTTGACTGCAAATCCGCATGACAAATCTGACTTATTTGTAAGCAGACTGTTGATTCCTTAAGTAAGTAAAGTAAATGACCCTTTACTACCCCTTCAGGCGTAGTGGGCACATAGTGCTAGAAATGCAGGTCTAGAATATACGTATAGTGCTAGAAATATAGGTCTACAATATATGTATAGTGCTAGAAATATAGGTCTACAATATACGTATAGTGCTAGAAATGCAGGTCTAGAATATACGTATAGTGCTAGAAATATAGGTCTACAATAAACCTTTAGTGCTAGAAATACAGGTATACAATATACGTATAGTGCAAGAAATATAGGTCTAGAATATACGTATAGTGCTAGACCAATATTTTATAGACCAATCAGCATTCATTGGCTTACTGTAATTCTGTGAAATCGGATTTAACACAGACTCGACATTTGTTCCTGTTCCTGTTTCTTTTTTTTTTTTTTTTTTTTTTGTGAGCTGTCAGGTCGTCCGTGAAATAATCTCCCACGTTTTGACGGTCCCAGGTGTAAAAGAGTTGAAGAACACTGTCTCATCTACTTCTTTTTATTAACGTTCATCGATTGTAAAATCTGACAGAAAGTCCTTCTTGTTCCTTCACTACTAGACTTTGGTTTCGTTCTAGAACTTGAGTTGTGCATGTACATCCGTTTTACATATCTAATTTATGTATGTGCAGACTGTTGGTTCCGCGTATGTCATGTAGATACAATCTGACTTTGAAGGAAACACCCTTCATTATTCGACTTTTACGACATGCTGTTAGGGGGCAGTGGGAACAATTTTTTTCTCCTTCAGAATGGGGCGCCGGTACACACAGGGAGAACTAGTCTAATAAGTAATGCATTTACATTCCTTTATTCTCTAACACCAAATTAGTGAAAACTTATTTGGAAGCTGCGGAGATGTGGTTTTATAAACGAATGATGAGAATACCCTGGACAAATTTTTTAAAAATGAAGATGTCTAAAAGAAACGTGTTCACGAAAATAACTGAAAGGCTCACATCGTTTAAATTGATAAAACAACACTTGGGCTTACAGAGCCAACATTACATAGAGACATAGGTCATGTCGATGAACTCACATTACCGTCATGAAAGCAGAGCTGTGTGTGCCCGTCTGTGGGTAATCTCCCCTGGGGTGGCTCAGATTGCTCAAGGTTATTTTTAGTGACAAGGTACGGAGTCAGACAAGGCTACCCTTTTAGCGGTGACATTCTAGATTGTATGTTGTATGTTTGTGCTTGCGCTGGTGAGTGTTAACCAGCGCTAGGTATGTATCTTACAAAGGGCCGCTTGATACAAATATGAGTACACACAAACATACATGTATGCCGAGACAGGAGGCAGAATTCGGTGAAAGCTGAAGTCTGTTCACTGCAATATTAGACAGTGCTACATCGTTATAGGGTTCAGTGTGGATCCCTGGATTTGGAGCTGTTTGATTCTCATCAATGAGATGTTAATCCTACATAATGCAAATCTGGAGGGGTAAAACTTAAAGGTGGATGTCAACTGCCAAAATCTTTCTCTCTCTCTCTCCCCCTCTCCCTCTCTGTGTGTGTGTGTGTGCATGTGTGGTGCGTATGAAGGAAAAGGGGTGGATAATCGTCATATCACTCTAAGCACTCGCACCATCATCATACAACAGACCCTTGGCATGACGTCGCTTCCCCCCCCCCTCCACATTGTCGACAGATCACCTGCTGAGTCCTCTAATGGCGGGTTTTGTATGTTGGTGCTTTCATCGATACAACTCCCCGACCCTAACGGGTCAAGGGTTTTATTGTTATGTATGCACAACTACGTAAAGGCATATATGCCGAGAAAAAATATATTATGACACAATACTAACGCCCTTAGTGTGTTCTTTCATACAAGGACAGCAAATAATATAGCAAGGGAATGCCTTGTGACGACATACCGTACAAAGCATACAGCAAAGCACGAGAGGGGCGTAAACAAGAGGTAGATCAAGAACGATAATGAACGATGACATCAGAGAAAGTCTACATCATGGCGTGTCATGGTCGAGGTGACTAGAAGAGCCAGAAGCAGAACCTTATATCTCCCTCGACATGAAAAACGGTAAATGAGGAAATGAAGAAGAAATGTGGTCTTTTATCTCTCTGAGTCCAAGAGGGTTTAGCATCACAGGCTAAAGGGGTAGTCAAGAGAGATGTAAAATCAGCGCATTATGCGGTCACTTGGCTTTTAGGCAGTAACCTATGAATGTCAAACTAAAACGTTACAACGGGTATAGAGCGAGTGGAAGACCTCGGAAAATATGGAGTGATGGCATTAAGAACAGCCTTACAGAAATGAAGATCAGTCTTAATAGTGCTCTTGACAGAGCTCATCAACGAACATCTCCCCCCGACACTTCGATGAGATGAGGTACAAGATGGAGGAGGAGGAGAAGGAGAAGAAGAAGAAGAAGAAGACCTAAGAACGTATTATGCGTTCCTTGGGACTCAAAAGAGTTATACTTCTTCTTCTTTCTTCTTCTTCGCGTTCACCAGCTGTACACTCTGGCGGAACGTTCTGGTTGCTCGTCTACTACTGAACTGCAGTCCTGCTCCAGAACCTGAGTGTTGCGTGTGCATCAGTTTTACAGATCTCATTCTCTTGAATACAGACTGTTGGTTCCTTGCCTCTCCGGCAGATGCACTCCGACTTCAAAGGAAGCTCCCCAGTTAGTAGACTCTTACGACATGCTTTTGTGGAGGCAGTGGGTCTATTCTTGTTTTTCCCACAATAGGGCCCCAGAACCCACACGGGGGAGAGTTATACTGATATGGCAACCGCTGCTTTAGCAACCGCTGCTTTAGTCAACATTATATTTTGATAGCATTTATTTGTTCACCGAATTCAGATTAGTGTACACTTCGTGTAGGTTCTGGAGATCCATTTTGGGGATGGGGGAGGAGGAGGGAAGACTCACTGTCCCTTTTACAAGCATATCGTACAGAATCAAAGGGTTTGCTAAAATCGGATGTTTCGGGCAGAAAGATGTAAATATCGCTGTCTAGCTGTAAACCATAACGCAAGACTTTAACCGCCCCTTTTAGGGGTGTATGCAAAAGAAGAAGAGGAAGAATATGAGGAGGAGGAGAAGAAAGAGGAGGAGGAGGAGGAGGAGGAGGAGGAGGAGGAGGAGGAGGAGAGAGAAGAAGAAGAAGAAGAAGAAGAAGAAGAAGAAGAAGAAGAAGAAGAAGAAGAAGAGGAGGAAGGGATAAGAAGAAGAAGACGGAAGGATGACTGCATAATGTATAAAACACTGGCTTTTTCGTTAAGTGCTTTGCGCTGATTTCCACACTAGCATGCAACGCCGACCGGGTAGACTTTAGATGAAATGCAAACTACAGCAAGCAAACTAACCAGTAAAAAACCACTAACAAATAGGATTGGTTCTGCAACATGGTGTAAATGATATGCAACTAACCTTGAACACTGCACTACAATAGCAACCGCAATAGAATAGTTTCATGGCACTCAAAATATGCACATGGAAACAATGCAAAACCACTACATTAAATTTCCTAGAAATATTTTATAGACAGTCACAAAACTTGACTTATGGTATAGCTTTTCATCTGTCGTCTCGATACGGGACACAACGTTTCGTCATTTTAAGCCCCACCCCGGGTGTAGTCGGCGGGGGGGGGGGGGGGGTGTGTGGAGGGGTGGACCCTAATATTACCTAACGGTTAAACAGGGTTTCTGGGACCTCTATCTGGGCGATCCTCGTCCGCATGGTGTGATGTCCTGGTGGAGTCGAATCTCATTCATTCACTCACTTCACTTATGATGGAGTGACATGTTTTAAATATGCTAAACTAAGCTATATATATATATATTGCCCTCGACATGGCATCAGAAGAAGAAGAAGAAGAAGAAGAAGAAGAAGAAGAAGAAGAAGAAGAAGAAGAAGAAGAAGAAGAAGAAAGGCGAAAGAAAGAAAGAAAGAAAGAAAGAAAGAAAGAAAGAAAGAAAGAAAGAAAGAAAGAAAGACAGACAGACAGACAGACAGACAGACAGACAGACAGACAGACAGACAGACAGACAGACAGACAGACAGACAGGCCAGGCAGGCAGGCAGAAAGAAAGAAAGAAAGAAAGAAAGAAAGAAAGAAAGAAAGAAAGAAGAAAGAAAGAAAGAAAGAAAGAAAGAAAGAAGAAAGAAAGAAGAAAGAAAGAGAAAGAAAGAAAGAAAGAAAGAAAGAAAAGAAGAAAGAAAAAAAAAGAAAGACATAAGGCAGAAAGAAGAAGAAGAACGAGATAAGAAGAAGAAGAAGAAGAAGAAGAAGAAGAAGAAGAAGAA